ACCAGAACCCCAGCACATTGGGAGAGGGTAGCAAAAAAGGACCCAGAAAGACTGCAGAGAAACAGGGGAAAAACTCCAGTTCAAAGGCAAACAATTCAGCAGCAGTCCCAGGACAACACAAGGAATGGAAAATCTTGGAGCTGCAAAACCCACTGAGAGACAGAGTCAAAAGATTGGGGGGCGGGGGGCAGGTGGGGCGGAGAGCCCAAGCGGCATCTGCAAAAAAGCAACTGAAGCAAGCCCTCTGTGGACAGTTTCACCAACCAGCTCCAGGAAAAGAGGACTGTGGGTGCTGAGAGGAGAGAAAAGTCACACACAGAAGTTCATAAAGAAGGAGTGAAAAGGGCTTTCGAAAGCAAATGGACTGAATTTGGCTACAAGAACTAAAGAAATAAGAAAGGCTCAAAGAGCTAGGAAATAGACAAGACAGGGAAACATAGAACTAAGAATACAGAGATAGAAATGTGTAGCTTAAAAGAGAAGCGGTTGTAAATTTATAGTAATAGAAAGACCCTATTAAGATAAGTAGTAAGAAAATTAGGTAGTAGATATAAGTACTGAGTTAGCACTAAGATTAAAAGGAACATTAATTTTGTATTAAACAACCCCAATGGGACAAAAATAAATCTAAGTCTTTGTGTACCAGCTTCAGAAAACCCTAAAACCTGAACATTCCAGAATTCTACAAACTATTATGTGAGGTTCCACAGTAACATATCTTTCAGAAACTGAAATAAGTAGACAACAATGATATTGAATATATATGCAATATCTTCAATAACAAGCTTGAATGTCTTGTTCTGGAAAATTTGTGACAGGTTATTTTAAAAATAGTGAAATTAATACTTCATATTAAAATGCAGTTAATATAACGAAACAGTATTTTCTATACATCTGATACCACCAAGTTGGTTTAATAAGACTTGGATTATGGTTATGTTGCTATCCAAGATTAAACTCTCCCACAGTAATTGTATTTTACTTTGAAATGCATATATTGTCAACATGACTGCAGAGATCTATTTGTCAGAAATGCACATACTCTAGGGCATGCTGAATGGGGAATTCTGGGAGTTGAAGTCCACACATCTTAAAGTTGCTGAGGTTGGAAACACTGTTTTAGGGTTCCCAGGAATTTAAGAACTGTGCACTCTTCATGTGTAAAGGGTAGCCATTTGAAATAATTATACATTGTATTTCCAAATAGAAAGTAGAGTGTTTCCCCCTCCCAAAACAATGATAGTTATCTACAGATTGAAAATGCTGTATTTACTGATAAGAATAATTGTGGATAACAAGGAATGAGTTAGGAATTACAAATGAATGCAAGCACTGCTAAAAAGCATAGATGCTTTTAATAATCATTTCTTGCTTATGAGGGTTATTTTTTTGTGTGTGATTTTAACCTTTTTTGTAACATGTGCAGTTACCTGTATTCCTCACCCTCACTGAGTTTTATTCTATGTTTCTCTTTCCTTTCTTTCCCAATGTAGCCACACCTTCCCCTTAACCAAATTTCATACTATCTGCTTCACCATTTCTGTTGGAAAGGAGAAGAGATGTGTTTGTGTGTGTACTTGCTTGTTTCTGGGTATGAGAATGGTTTGTACATTACAGAACAGAATGATCGGTATTTGCCAATGAAGTATCAATTTTCTAAACTTCGTTATCTTATTTTACTAGCAATTAATTTTACTTAATTTAATTAAATTTAATTAACCTGGCTTCTAACAGGTATATACAGTACTGTGCAAAGGTTTTAGGCAGGTGTGAAAAAATGCTATAAAGTAAGAATG